TGATCATCAGGCCGAATATCCACACGTCTTCGATATCTTCAATGGACAGCTGGCTGAGGCAAATGATCTTCCACTCTTTCCAGGAATCCTGCATATATCCCACCGGGTGTGTCCCCTGTGGACATGTGGGAGCCCCCTGCTCCGTTATTATCACTTGTAAGTCGCTTTGGACAAAAGCGTCTGCTAAATACATAAACATAATCAGAAAAAACCAAAGAAGTCTAGTTGCCTTCATCTGAACCCTTTCTGATTGGACTAATTATTGTTTAGTCAGAAGGTTTTTAATCAGTCAGGTTTCTGTTTATGGGATTATTGTTGGTCGATTCAGGGTAGGGGTGGGCAATATAAACGTCCGTCTCAGCTCCTGTTTTAAGCTGTAGATTACTGATCCACTTCAGCCGTCTTCCTTCACTATGGAGCGACGGTGGCACAGGAGTTAAGTGCTCGCCCCGCAATCGGAAGGTTGCAGGTTCGAGCCCCACTCAGTCTGTCGCTGTCGTTGTGTCCTTGGGCAAGACACTTAACCCACGTTGCCTGCTGGTGGTGGTCGGAGGGACCGGTGGCGCCAGTGCTCGGCAGCCTGGCCTCTGTCAGTGTGCCTCAGGGCAGCTGTGGCTACATTGTAGCTCATCCCCACCAGTGTGTGAATGTGTGAATGACTGATTGTGTTGTAAAGCGCCTTGGGGGGTTCCAGGACTCTAGAAGGCGCTATATCAAATACAGGCCATTTACCATTTACCATTTTATTTATAAAACAATAAGTCCTTTGTGGCATGCTACATTCAGGACTTGGAAAAAACATTCGTCTTTGTCCCGATTAGAGCAATTGTAATTACTGTAGACTGCCTAGAATGTCAGCATTTTAACGCCCAGTCACCAAAGTAAATAGGGTTTTGTGCAGCACCGGCTACTCCCTCACCCCCATCTGCCTTTGGTGATGAAGATGCAATGTCATGTGTAACCCAGCAATCGACCCCTTGATGTGTGACATCACACGCTCCAGATCCCACCCCCAGCTTCTGGCTGGGGAACAAGAAGAGGGTGAATTCCTGTTGACCACCATTAAATCTGCCAATTAAAGTCATGGTTAACACATGCAACACTGTAGGCTGCACAAGTAGACTAAAGGACAGGTTTCCAGCTGCTGAAATAAGCTGAAGGCAATGGTTAACAGCCATGAAGAGAGTTTATCTCGTCTCATGACAGTATCCACATGTCCAGACACAAACAAGTTGGTCATTTAATGACTTTTAGCCGGTTAAATTAGATTATTTTTATATAATTACACAAAACATGTTCTGAGCGGGCAGCCTTCAGTTTCATTGGTTCGGTGTTTACTGAGCTTGCCAGGTATGACAAATTCATAAAATGTATTTATTGTGTGGTTATGCACTACTACCCGGATGTAAACAATGACATTTAAGGGGTCTATAGATGCTCAAACAACGGTTTCCTGTCGTAAAACCTTTGTAATGTGTACATGTAGACAGAGACGTCTGTGTGGGACGACTGAGAGAAACAGCCGTGTCCCAGTTCCTGCAGACGGTGTGAGTTCGGACTCACTGTTGAGTCTGACAGCTCTGTGTCCAGCTGACAGACGCACTGCGTCCATTTGAGTCTCAGTGTTAATAAACTGCTCCTTTAAGAGCTGATCATGTGATGTCTGATGTGTGGAAGGAAATGATCTGTTAGAAACGTCGTGTTTGTACAGATGTAGGTAAGAGCGTGTGAGTCTGCAGGTGAGACTCCTGTCAGGTTTTATTTTGGTTCAGAGTCAAAACTGAGCTGCTCAGACACTTTCATCTCTCTCTGCCCTGTTCATGTCATCTCTCATTTATCTGATCAACCTGCGGTCGTTTCATACATCCAGAGCATTTATTAGCCACCTTTTTGTTTTCTTTTTAGACACTGTTAGGTATATTTTAACCAAAAGAACGCACACCAGAGAAGTTTGGTTGATTTTATGCACTGCAGCGGAGAGCCGAAAGCATGATCAGAACATTGCCTTCCAACTCTGCCTTCTGCTTCCACTCCAGCACTTTTATTTAGAGAGAGAAAATGAGGACAAAGGCCTATTCATCATAGCCTGCCCTATGCTAACTAGTAACAACATTGCTTCTGAGCTAGAACTGGCCAATAACAACATAACTTCTACCTAAGGCGGGACCTACTAAAAGGAAGTCTTAAGTTACAGTAGTGGCTGCTGAAGGCCAAAAACTGATGACTCATTCAGCCTGTTGCCAGGCAGACTATTTCTACCAATCCCCACAACAATACCAGAGGTTGACTGAAAGGAAAAAAACAGTCCTGACTAACATTTGATTACTTGAAAAGGAACATTAAAAGAGTAATACATTAAAAATCCCTGACAGACACCAAATGAATAGACGGGTTCTGGTGCAACTGGGTTTTCAACTATTCGCCTCCCCTCCGTTCATCAGCAGGCATCAGCATTCAGAATCAGTTTTTAGTTGAAACATCTGGAACTGCAGCAACATTTATTTATTCTCATGATCCTGTTGTGAGAAGATGTGTCAGTCTGGGTCCTGCATGAAAGGACCAAATTTTCCTGAATCTTGTGAAGAAAAAAATACCTGAAAGCCGTGGAAACGGACTGTCCCTGGACCAGCCACAGCTGATCAGGAGTCAGTGCCTCCGAGGTTGGTCGGAGAGATTTTATATTTTAGTTAGTGAAACTGCAGCTGTTGGCATCTGGTCCTGAAGCCCCTCTCAGGTTTGCTCACCTGGTCCAAACGGCTTCTGCATTGGGCTGAACCGGACTGGACAGCATCAGAGACGTGTTCGAGAAAGGTTCTATCTCCAGGTTTATTAAGAGAACCAACCTCTGGTGTCTCCTCTCTCTCCTCCAGCTGAATCGGATCATTTTGCTCTCCGATCCGATTCCACAGACGTTCTGTAGTGGTAATCTGACAGATTTCATCCCAGATTCATTTCATGTTGAGAGCGGGTTAATCTCTCCGTCCTTCTCTTAGTCCCCCGTCAGCAGAGGAGGATTAAGGTGTACCGGGGCCCATAGGCTACACTTGTTCGGGACCAAAAATGCTTGGTCCAATCGAAATATTCTTATCCATCTTGTTAAGTCTTATCTGCAGATACTTATTTTAATCAGGGCTGTAAACAACTAAAAATGTGAATCTAATTAATCATAGGGTATTTGTGAATCAACCATGATTCAGTCATGATTAATGAAATATGACTGAAAAAGTACAAGTTCCATATGACCTCTGAATGCAAAACCTCGTTCTGACAGGTGTCTCACCACAGCAATCACTCTCCGCAGCACCTCTCTCCAATAAGTACGCTTGCTGCCAAACTGTTGTTAGAGTGCCTGATCGATACACCCAGCATCAGCAGCACACCGCTAGAGATAAATCATCGTTGCATTCCTGTGGCATTTTGACCCTTCATGTTCTGACAAACGTACACCAGCATTTTTCCAGTCGCTGTATCCAGAGACTAATGCGTTTACTTGAACATGACTCCCAGTTCCAAATAACTTGCACGCAAAACAAATGACTGTTCATTTGAATGGAGAGTAGAGCAGCCATTCATGTTTCACACTTTCTCCTTGGCTAATTTTCTAAAAAGCATAGACTTAGAAAAGTACCATTTTTGATGTTTGTGTTGTCTCTCAGATGCAGCAACATCAGCGTCTCTATTGCGGCAAACATCCGGCCCCATTTTAATCCAATATTTTCTGGTGTTTTCATCCATTTCACTCCAGCAGCCAGGATCCGGGTTTAAGTTAGCATTCACCATCAGCGTCACCTGGCTAGGACCTTCTGCCGGGCTCCCATCAGAAACTACTTGAAGCAGGTCTGCCTCTGCCCCCGAGTGGACAGTATCAGCTTCTCTGTGACTGCTCGTTCCCTCCTTTGAGCTAGCATCATGAACCTCTGCTGCTCCAGCTAGCATAGCTCGGTTGCCTTCATCGTGAACGTCTTGCTTTTCTAACCTGCTGTTGGGTCGAGCAGCAGGTTTAAAATATCCTGTTAATATTGGGATTTTCTGCCGAAGATTTTGGTGCTTTTGTTCTTAGATTCTCTCCATTTTTCTTTTCTGAGCACCGCTCTCATATTTTCTTTTTGGCATTTTTTTCATTTTCTCTCGTTAAGTGCAGCAGCCTATGATACATGAATATGACGTGTCACGTGACACGTAACTTAACTCAAGACTGTGTCACTTATGATTTTAACGACCAATACAGTTGAAGAATATTCTTGCATGTAAATTTAAATAAAATCATATATTTTTAGCTGGCCATTGGGGGCCCCAGAACACACAGGGCCCCTAGGCTTAAGCCATATCAAGCCTGTGCATTAATCCGGGCCTGCCCGTCAGGACTAATAACAGCCCCCCCCCCCCCCCCCCCCCAGCTGTGGGACAAATCAATGAAGCTAATTATGATCCGTTAGCTGTGGCTGAGAACTGAGAGCAGCTTCCACAGATCCGATTGAGGCCGAGGATAATCCGTTTAGCAGCTTCTGAGCATTGCAGGATGTTTTGCACCACAGAGACCTGCTGAAGGTTTTACTGCTGCCCATCAGCTGTGGAGTCGTGTTTCAGGACGTAGCCACGTCCCGCTGATAGGGTTATAGATCACTTGTGGTTCTGTTCCTACACCTGCTTGGTGGATTCTTTAGGGATGTTTCATCTACTCACATTCTCCCCTCGTGCACATCGATGTACCTGAACCCGAGCTAGAACTAAAGCAGAACCGTAAATTAGTTTTTTTTTAGATTATAGCCAATGTTCTGCAATTTCAGGACACAATTGATGATTTAATTTGTGATCAAACATCTGGATACAGCTGCAGGGTGATGCAACATGTTCTGATACTCTGACTCAGCAGAAAACAATCCCACATCTCAGAGAGGCGGAGTCATGCAGAGGAGGGGGCTGGTCTAGGAGTTGCTTTTCTGCAGATGGCTAGATGATCATGGGTGGATTTTCTGTTCAGAATCAACAAACAAACCAGA